CAAGGTTTAGCTATACAGCCTTTGCTCTTGGAGGTTAGACTTGATGAAAACCTTAGCAAACTCCCTAATATCCCAACTGCTCCTCGGTTCTGAGAAAGCTCTTGCCAACTTATTTGCATGAAATTTTCAAGTTGAACGATTTTGTTTTAAGAAAAACTAAGTACTCCTCAAAGAAAAAGGGGGCAAGGGGAATATAACGACAAACACAACAATTCAAAAGCAATTACAACAATTGTGTAGAGAAAAGCTGTGAACCAGATGTGCATTTCAAAATAGAAATAGTTACATTTCAAAGATGTGAGCCAGAACAAGCTCAGAGTTGCAAAAAAAAAATCCTAAGAAATTCTAAGATGGAGTAAAAGAAGGGTTCTGCAGTCAATAGCTGAAGTCCCAACAGCAGGAGCAGGAGTGGAGCTGGGGAGCTCGGTAATCAATACCTCTTGAAGCTCAGCAGGAGAAGTAACTGGCAAATCATCAATTGGACTCTCTGACAGCGAAGGGGCAGGAAGCTCCGTAGTCAGAGTCTTTGTAAGCCTTGGAGTAGGTAGGGGAGGAACCTCAGGAATCCCCGAAGCAAGGACCTCGACTTTTGCTGACGGCGAGTTCAGGGCCAGAGCCTTGGACACGAGATCGGCGGAGAAAGGGACAACCTCAGAAGCAGGAGGGGGCAAGGCACCGACCTCAGAGTTAGCTGCCTCAACATCGTCTGCCTCAGCATCGTCTGCCTCAGTCTATTCCTCAGTAGAAGGCTCAAAGTTAAAATTTAGTCTAAGGTAGATCTCTTCAGCTCTGTCTTGGAAAGCGATCCACCTGGAAGCCCACTAAGTTATGACGTCGTCAGCCAATTTGGCAATCAGGTCATCCTTCTCCTTAGCAGCCGCCCTCAGCACCTCGAGCTCATCCTGAAGTGTTTCGTTTGTCTCAGCTAGGATGTTATACTCCCTCTTCATGTTCCTGTAAGAACTCAAAGCCTCTAGGGACTCTTGACTGACCTTAATCCAGTCATCAATCTTTTGCCTGAGCTCCCCCGAGGTCTTTGTGAGCTCTTCCTTAGTCTTTTGAAGTTCCTCTTGGCAGCTCTTGCCCTCACTCTCAATCCTATCCTTCTTAGTTTCCAAGCTCTTGTTGAAGGAGGTCTGCTTCTCCACTTGCTCCTACAAATCCTGCACTTGGGCTCTAAGATCACTGTTTTCAAAGGACAGTTGAGCAACCTTGAGCTCGAAAGCCTGGGAAGCTTTGACAAAACCCTCCATAGCTTGGATCATTTTCAGTAAACCGCTAACATGGAGGGCCATTTGAGAGCAAGCACGGCCCAGAAAAGCTAAGGGAAGGAGACTAAAAGCCCAAAAAAAATACTCACAGAAGTAGCGGCAAATAGGGCAGTGGATATGGAGGACCTAAGGGGCATGGCAGCGAAGTATTGAATCTTAGATTCTGGGAGAATAGAGGTGATGGCCTCTGCTACTCCCTTCACATTACTAATAAGAGAGCCCGTACCTGCTTGCTTCAATGCTACGAAGCTCTCCTTTTTCGTTCTTACAAGCCTGGGGGGTTGCAGAGATGGCCCCTCAGCTGGGCAAGGAGGAATGGACCCTGGCAGAATGCAAGAAATCATCTCCAGAGCTCTCTCAATCTCTGCAGAAGAGGGAGAGGTGGGGATCAAGCCTTGCTCAGGTGCCCACCAGGAGGCAACCTAGTTTTTTGGGAGAAAGGGGTCTGTGCAACCTTCAGGGAGCCTGAGGAGGGTTGGGACCCCACCTGAGACGGTTAAGGAGAAGCAGGGGGCTCCTCCAGCCTTGAAACTTTGGCTAAGGAGGCTGAATAACTCCTCGAGTTGACTTCAACCTTGCGTTTATTTTCACTCTGATTCTTCCTGATCAGGGATAATTTGGTAGTGCGATCCTTCATAGTGGGCTCCATTGAAGAAGAACCTGGAAACTCAGGGAAGAATCAACATTAAAAAGGAAAAGAAGGAGAAGACAAAAGTAAAAAAGCAAAGGGCAAGGACAAAAGAACATTATCCGCTACTTCCTCAGCGCTGATAGTAGAAAGGGGAAATGGATTCTCAATCCGCACCTTGGGTGGGCTGAATCCGAGCTCTACAAAGGTCCTAGGTTTGAGGAGGTCAGAGTACCTCTCTGAATCATAATCCGCTAAGGATAGCAGAACCAACTTGTCTTTAGCACTAAGCTCAGGTCGAATACCTGGAAAGTAAAGAGAGAAGAGGTCAGAAAAGAAAATCATCAAAACCAACCTTATTTGGCTGTAGCAAAGACTCACCCAGGATGTTAGGGGCAGACCAAGCTCTAGGGACTGGGAGAGTATCTGTCTTGTTTGCAAGGTTGTTTTTCCATTGATTGTCCCACACAAAGAAGAAAAGTTTTTTTCGGCTTTTATGAGAGCTGGGGAGGTCGAAAATGATGACTTTGACTTTCACTCATTTGGAAATATATAGAAAATCATCAGAGGGGGTATATTTAACATTGAAGAAATTCATAAGAAAAGGAATAGAGGGGACCCCTAAGCTATGTTTCTTAAAGAAGACAAGGAGGCCCACCAATACGCCCCAAAAATTTGGAGAGAGTTGAGCAGGGCAGACATTGAAATGCTACAGGATACTCTTAATAAAAGGATATAAGGGGAAGCGGAGGCCATTCTCAAACGCAGCTACAAAGAAGCAGACCTTCTTTTGAACTTGGGAGACGTACGAGATACAGGTGTCAGGGCACCAATATCGGATACCCAAAGGAAATCTGAAACGAGCAGCTAAGACTTTCATCTGGGGATGAGTGACTTCACTAGCACCTGTGAGCTCAGCAGCCCAGTAGGCAGCCCCTATGCCCTCAGCATTACCTGAGATTCCCACGCCACTCACTTTAACTTTGCCTTTATTGGGGGTTTTTGGGCATAAGGGAAGAAGAAGAGGGGGCTCCCTCGGCCATTTTCTTGGCCTCAGCAGAATCGATTCCAGGGAAGTTATCAATCTTATCGCCTATATCTCCTAGGTCAGAATCCTTTTTTGCAGACCTGTCTCCCATAAGAGAAACAGACGAAGGAGTAGCTTCAAAAGAAGCAGACATAGTTGGACAAGAAAAAGGAAGTCTAAAGGTACGACAAATGGGAGGAATATTTGCAGAACACTCTCTAAGAGTCATGGGAGCAACGCAACAACTACCAATAAGAAAAACCCTAGCAATTGAATAATGGTCCAAAAAGAGGGGAATACGAGACAGTCATCGACCTTGGTTTTTAAAATAGCAAAATTGAAAAGTCCACAAATACAGAAACCACCTTAGACTTGAGGGATCCAGAACGAGGAGATGAACAAGGGGCAAGGAGCGTACCTAAGTGAAGATCAACAGTGGGCCAAAGCTAAAATTAAAGGCGAAGAGCAAATCTTGTTGAAGCCACAAGCTAAATAAAGGGAAATCGATTTTCTGTGAAACCCTAAGGACGGCGAAAAATTGAAGATGAAGTTGTTAAGAAGTGAAGAAGAAGTGCCAGAGAGAATTCGAAAAGTAAGAAGAGAGTCGTTGTTCCAGGGACATTTAAAGCTAACAGTGTAAGGGGGCCTCGAGCAGGTATCAAGCGTGAGAAACGAGGAAAGAAATAATTTTGGAAACCGCCAAAAAGAAACTCCCTAGATGCGTAAATTGAGGTCATCGTGTAGCCCTGACCAGTGTAACTTAGCCCTTGCCCAAGCTAGCTTGATCAAGAGCTGGGGGCAACTGATGATACATAGAATAATTTCTAAATAATGAGCTCAGGTACGGAGGTTAGACAAGGAGGTTTGGTAAGACACATAGAACTCAGAAGACCAGAGTCAGGGCTCCCCCAAACAAAGCAACAACAGAAATGATAAGGGAACAACTATATGTTAGTAGGAACCCTACAAGCGGCGAAGAATCATGTTCAAGGCGCAAACACCTTCAACCTACCAAGATATTCTCCAAAAATCAAGGAGGAATCCACGGGTGAAAGGCAAGGATCTCGGTAAAAATCCCACAGATCGAGGAACAGCTCTATAAATACTGTATAATACCCAATAGTAAAGAGAGTTTTTTTTTTTAGCAGCACAAGTGATTGATTGTAAATTTGATTTCTCATTATAGAGCAAAAGGAGCAAGAGTCTCCGTTGAAGAGTGGATTAGTTGAGCTCCCGAACTGGTGAACCACTATGCTTTTATTGTGCACAACTCCTCAAATTCCTCAGTATTCTTTACATAAATTACACGAGCCTTGAAGCTCAGACTCAAGTCATCAAGTATAATCTATTCCCTCTGTTCATTCACGTCAATTTACACCATCAAAATTTATATATAATTTGTTAAAATTCAGTTAAAATAAATTATTTAGATCAGATTAAATTTTAAATTATTAATTAATAGATACATATCACAAAAATAAAATTTATCAAATTATTGAATTACATTCGGATGAGACTTTCACAGTCAAATTGTAATTAGGATACGTCAAAATTCCATCCAAGTTGACTGGTCTTCTTGAGGGCTCATTTCCTTTGGTTGTCCACCTCCTATTTTGATTGGTGGAGACTGTAATGGTTTGATACTTTTCCTTGCAATTCCAGCCAAGTCTTGTTGCCTTTTAATACAACCACTTTTTTAAAAGCTGGGTCATTAACAAAAGAGAGAGAAGAGAGAGTGATATGGAGAGAAGAGAGAGATGGAAAAGAGAGAAGAGAGAGATGGAAAAGAGAGAAGAGAGAGGAATACAAAGTAACCAAAGGGTGGTGCTAGTTGCAGCTCCATTCCAGGGGCACATAACTCCGATACTTCAGATAGGCTCAATCCTCCACGCCAAAGGCTTCTCCATCACAATCGCATACGCTGCATTCAACCCTCCTAATTCTTCTAACCATCCTGAATTCATCTTCGTACCCCCTATCCACCAACGTATCAGACTATGCGATCCCCTCCAAGTTCTTGTCAACTATGAATGTTAACTGCAAAGAACCACTAGAGACATATGTGGTTCAAACAATGGAGAAACTGGAGGAGCCACGTGATCGAGTCTGTTGCATCATCTACGATTCAGTGATGTACTTTGCAGAAGCTGTGGTTGCTCATCTCAAGATTCCAAGTATACACTATCACAGTAGCAGTGATTCCTATGTTTTAGCTTGCCATGCAACTCCTTGCCTTCTTAAACAAGGTTATATTCCCTTACAAGGTACGAATGTATACGACTCGTAGCATTGAACTATTATCTGTTTTTAAAACTTAAGCTAGTAGAAGGGTATAACTGAAGACAGGGAATTATCGGATCCTTGTATATTATGAGTATATGTTCACAATCGTAAATGGAATTGGACACGCCATCAGTATGATTATAGTGTAATATTCTGACATAATCTGTCTTCACTGTAGGAGACTGTTTGATGTCTCAGATTATTACACTAGTATACGCAAACAGCCTCATTCTCTAAAAGCTCGGCCTCGAGAACTACTGCTCTCTTATGAGCCAACCTCAACTGCAGCCTGGTGTCCAAATCTCTCTTCCACCAAAGCTCTCGACACCTGATTTAGTTTTAGCGTGCTCAAAAGTATGAAAAAGCCGCAGCCATCTGCAAATTTTCAAAGCCAGAATGTTTGCATGACCAAGCATATAGAAGATAGGGTTCCACATAACAGCAAGATACCATAACAAAGTCCTCTATCTCAGGTACCGATGATACCCTCAAGACTTGATAGCTGACATTCAAGGGTGTCATAAATCTCCAAAGCCTCTCCTTATCCAAAATTCACATCTTGCGGCAAGGACACCAGTCAATTGCTAGAAGTAGGATAATTATGTGAAGCGCTGAGGGGCATCAAACCCCGTCTTTCGAGAAACAGTAAGACTGTTAGACCTCAACTGGGAAGCATTGGGAGCATTAGATCTCACTCCTTCTAGGAGAAAGGGAAGGCACCATCTTAGTGACGTAGAGAGCCTTTGTTGTTAATCCATCAACAACGGGATCACTTGTGAAAGAGAGAATTTTCATAAATCAAAGACATCATCAATTTGCCTAGTTCCTCTATAGTGTCGCCTATGGCATCGCCCAATCTTATGTCTTCCCTGGTGTTGTCCAGGTTCATATCCATGGCGCCACTCGCCAAAGTATTTCCATCTCCATGCGTCGAAGCGTTCATTCTTCTATTCATCTTCTCTCTAATAATGGCGTTACCAAATAGAGAAATAAGCTTTAAAAATGTCATGGATGGAACGCTGAAGAAGTCACCATATGGAACAAGATAAATGTTTTACCCAAAGGAAGGAGCTTACTCATGCTCTCAACCCCCAATCATTACTAGGGCTTGGGGCATGGGGGGAAAATGACGAGCTCAAATTTAACGAGGTCAGGCTCAATTAATGAGCTAGTCCCAAATCAACTACAAGGCAGGTCAAGCCTAATTTATAAATTCGGTCCAGTCTAAAGTTCAAGGAGTCCAAAAGAATTAGAGCACGTGGGGAGCAATTATTGAGATACTCACTATGGAAGATCAAGACAACTTTTAATTGTACTTACCTTTTGTAGCTTTCCGAAGATCTAGTACCTTTACCCTCACGTCATCGCCTCAACTAAAGATTTGTGCCTATAAATTGTAACTTCTCTCTACATGAGATGACACCTCTCTACATACCCCACACATAACTTTTCTCTTTCCTAGCTATTGTATTCCTTCCGAGGCTAACCATTGTTCTCTCTCTCTCTCTCGTTTACCTTACTTAATCAATAAAAGGTCCCCGACTATTGTTGTCGTTCGTCAGAGTGAAGTAGATCATCCGGACTGAATCACTATATATCTGTCTGTTGACCTGATATTTATTTTATTGTCATTGATTGCTTTATTAATTGTTTATTAATTACACTTTATCACACACTCAATTGTTGATCTTATATAAGACCGTTTTGTGTATCATCAATAGTTAATTAACATAGTTTATGTCAAGATACAATCACAAAAAAGATAAAGTTATTGCAAAAGAAGTTGAGATTGATTATAAAATATTTGGATGATTTTTAATGTAATGGTCAATCATTAATGATCCCATTTTATCATAAATCGCACCTAAATTAAATTGTAATTTCACCTCCCCTCTCCACATGCAGACTCAAGAAAGTGAACTTAAGATCATAAACTAAAAGACACTGAACACAAATAAATTGTGTTTAATTAATAAAATTTTATTAAATTTTAATAACTTAGTTAAGACATTTCATTTGAATTGAGAAAATAGATCAAAAATAGTGAACTTCAAAATTAAAAATTCATTTAGGAATTTTAAACCACGCAACAAGAAGAAACTCCTAATTCACTATCTAAAGTTTTCACAACAATGAACTACGATTAATAACAAAATATAAATTCTATCTCTAATCTTAAGTTTAACTACTAAGAATTAAGGAATCAACCTTGACATTGAAGCAACAAAATTCAATAATCGCATACAATATTTTATAAGACCTAAAAGACAGTGAAAAAATTCAAAACTTACCACCACCATTGCCACCGTCCACTACCACTACCACTACCATTACCACCGCACACCACCACCACCACCACCCAATTGTTAATATATGTTTTGGGTATGTATTAAAATTGAGACATAGATAAGTATTTTTGGAGTTTTATAAGTGATTCCAAACGTCACTTCAAATTCTTGTCTTTTATTTTTAAATTTTTTTTTCTCTTCTCCATTTTTCGTCGTCGCACACACACTCAAAAGCAGCAAACACAAAAAAAAAAATGCTTGATTCATATGCTCAATGACACTTAAGTTCATCATCACCACCAAGATACTTAATAGACCATTAAAATATCACAAATAAGACATCAGCAGGGATTAATCAGATTTTAAGGGCTTGTGAGGTCCTTAATAATTTTTTGTGAATGCCAAATGGCCATGGCTTAGAAAAAATAAATATAAAAGCTATAAATAGTTGCTACTTTAACCAAGTGGCATTCTATTAGGTTGGCAGGTAAGTTAGTTTTGGATTTTAGAAGAACATATTATATTATATCAACCTAGATGATAATCAAATCATAATCTTAGTGAACCTTAGCACAAGTTGAACTAGTAAAACTTTAAAATTTGATCTCATAGAAAATATATTGTAACTAAATTCAACTAAGATACCGTTACATTCCGCGAATTCTTACTATAACTCAAATACAATGAACATAAACAATGAATTTAAGAGGGTGAATTAAAACTCTCTCTCTCTCTCTCTTCGTGAATATGTATTTCGTTATAGATAATTTGATTTTTAAAAATTGAGAAATTTAGAGGTCGGTCTCCCTTTGTAGACTTATTTGGTGATAAGTTCATCAACAACACTAGTTTAATATTAAGTCCAAAATATCTTTAATAGTTATATTTAATTAAAATAAATTCAAAAATTAACAACTCATAAATTTTAAGAGTTTGACTAACATTAAAATTCTGTCTCTCATATCTATTTATATTTATAATATAAAACAGGACGGACTTCAATAACTTTATCCGACGGTCTCAAATAAACTCATCCAATAACCACCAACATTCGTCTCAAAACCATTTACATTGATTTTTTTCCCCTCTCCAAATTCATCACTTTTCACTTACGTTGTATCGTGTCTTTAGGCACGAGTTGCTCCTAATTCATATATAAAATATGACTATTTATTTCTCTCTCATATATATATACACACACACATATAGTACCATTAAAAAAAATAAAAGTAACATTCACATACAAAAAATGATATCATTTAAACAAAACAAAAATAGTAACATTCAAAAATATAAAATAATAATATTTAAAAAATAACATTAATAATATGGTCAACAAAAAAATAACATTGAATATTAATATTTCAAAAAATAATAACATTCAATATTAATATTCAATATTAATAGTACCATGCACAACAAAAAAAATCATAACATACACGCCTAACTCCGTCTCCAAGGCAACATAGATTTGGTAGAAGATGATGATCATCTTTACTACCGGTATTGCTGCAGTGGTACAGCTGATACTGATCATCTCTCTTAGATTTTTAGGGAAAAATCGAAGGAAAATGTTATACTTGTCAAATTTTTTTACCAAATTTTTCATCTTAAAAAGTGTAGATCGATATTTGTTATTAAATATTAATGTGACCCATTTATACCGTAAAAAACTGGCATTAGCCAAAATAGAAAGCATCAATCCCATTTATGGGTGCAGAAAGCTGCTTGTCTCTTTCTTCTGTTTCGATAAGGACTTTAATGTCATTTTCAGGTCTCTTTCTCTGGTATCCAAGCGATGCAGATAACAATCTCTTTGCACATGCATTACATGATATATAATAGCAACAAGAAAGAGGAAGCGAGGGCAAGAGAGAGAAATCAAATAAATCATCTTTTTTGGTACTAAGCTTAAATCCTAATTAGTAAGATTACGAACGTATTTCTAAATAAGCTTTCTCGATAGACTAAATTCATTATAAATCTTTTAAGAAAAATTCAGCCCAATTTTCACTTTGAAATTATATTATTTATGATCAATCAATTATAATTTTATAAATTATAACATTAATTCGTTTAAATTGTGATTTTTTTTATCAATGATGTGAGTTTAATTTTAAACACTGCATACAACAACTATCTTTGCCACCACCCAAAAACTCCAACGGCAACACAGCGCAACACCTCCAACGGCTACATAGCACAACACAACAACCGACACCTCGAGAACTCACACAGCACCCACACAATCACCACAACCCAACACCGACACCAAATCACAAAGAGCGAGAGAGAGAGAGAGAGAGAGAGAGAGACCTCAAACTCATCCAGGTTCATCCCGAATCTATCTGTTTTCGTCAAAATTAAGTTATTCCAGATCCATCCGTCTTGCAGATCATAGGCAACATAACATAACTTTCAGATCTAGTTAATGGACCATAAGCCTTATGGCTTAATTTCATTAAAAACCCCATGAATCCCTAAAAATTTCAAGACCTCCAAGAACTGTCCATGAACAAAGGGATCTGAAACATGTCTATGGATCTGAAATCATAACTGGTGCTGCTGTGATTCGACGAAGGCTTCACAGTTACAACTCGATTCCGGGTAGCGTAAGGGCCGAGAAATGAGGCGTACACATAGTCGCTTATTGGGGAGAGAGAGAGAGAGAGAGAGAGAGAGAGGGGAGAAAT